TATCTCGTGAAGACCTGTAGATTCCTGTGACCTCAGTGACTTATACTATCTTGCAACTTCTCAGGAGTTTACAGTACTCCCTAAAGTGTGACCTGTTAAATTTCATGGACCAGCTAAAGTAAGTGGCGAAAGTGCAATGTGCCCCCCTTAGCCGCACCGCCAAACCTGATGAGTTTTGAGGGCTGGTGTTTCATTCCCTGGGTCCGACCGCCTCCTACTAGTTAGTGGTGTTATCAGTTCCTTCCGGTGCATATCAGTGTTTATAAGGGGGGAGCGAGCATATCACTAGCCGTACCGCTGTTGGTCATCTGATTTTCCCCCAACATGAAATCGGACGACATCGCAACGCTTCAATTCTTTCCTACAACGTTCACGAATCCTACACCGCCAGGACCACGTGAGTTCAATTTCTTCCCATTAGTATGAATCGATAATCCCAAGCAGGTCCTATTTTAGATTATCACCCGCTAGCCGGCCCTCCACTTTTGGCACCTGGCCCATTTTGGAATCCATGTTTATTCTCGCTTTTTTCTACGTTTACCGATCCTACACTGACAGCGATTCCAGTGCCCAACGCACAGCCGCCTCTCAGGTAAGCTTTCCACCTAAGAATGTACTGTAAGAAATGGGTGATTATAGGAAAACTCAGCCTCTTTCAGCGCCCAACAACAGCCTTTACTGAAGTTCCCTCAACTGATAGAAAACAATCCTGAATGCTTCTCGCAGTCTAGTGAAAGCTCCCAGACAACGGAATCCGGTACATCGACTCCTGGCAATTTCCTTCCTGAGGTATGTTTCTTCGACTATTTTGAACTCTGATGGGTTTCTTCCACAGTGATTCCTCACCCCAAACCCGGTTTGAAATCCCTCAGTTTTGCACTCTAAAAAGGAAACTGCGTGAGCTGCCAGCTCCGGGGAATGTATAGCGCATTCACCACGTCAGCGTTAGCGGGATCGCCTAGGGTTTGGCTTTTGCCTATGACTCGGCATTCTTCTGGGGTAAGATACAGTTCCTCTCGACGTGAGACCCCATTCTCAATTTGTCCTGACTGTGATCAACGATGACTATAACTGGTTGTAAAGCCACCGAAACCACCTCTGATTGATTGAGAAGCTGGCCGCGTTTATACTTGCGGCTCAAGCGATTCACTCGCGCGACTGCGACTGACTGCCTCCACCGCTAACTCGTTGGACCGCTGCGAAGCCTGGAATAAGTTTTGTCCTGACTGTGATCAAATTAGTGGTTTGGGTTCCAACGACTGGTGGTAAAATGTGGTCGATCAATCGCTCGGGACTAGGCGGTCTACGTCGCAAAGTATAAACGCAGCAGTACTAGTAGGCTCACTGGAGCCTAATAGGCGTGGCTTATCAATCGTTACGAGGGGACTTTCAGCCTGCCTGAGGGAGTAAGAGACCCGGCGATGTGGGCAAATGTGAACAGCAATCTTGGGACGAAACAGA